TTATTTATTTATTTATTTATTTATTTATTGACAAAGGAGCTAGCCCGCAGTGGGTTTGAACTACCCACCCAACTGAGGGAGACCCTGAGCTTCTGCTCCTCCAGTCTCTACCTCCTGGGAGCTCAGATTACAGTCATTCACCATCAGGTTTCTGTGGTACTGGCAATCATACCTGGGGCTTTGGATCCATGTTACTTAGGAACTTTATCAACTGAATCATGTCCTGAGTCCTTCTTTCTGTAGATTAAAAAAAGTATTTAACAAAAATTTTATGTGTGGGGCTGGAGAGATGGCTCAGCAGTTAAGAACACTGGTTGTTCTGGCAGAAGACCTAGGTTCAAATCCCAGCACCCACATAGCAGCTAACAACTGTCCGAAACTCCAGTTCCAGGGGATCCAACAGCCTCTTCTGTTCTCTGTGGGCATTGCATGACATGGGTGCACTTACATACACACAATCAATACATACACATACATAAAACAAAAATAATAAATAAAATATTAAAAAAATTTTATATGTATGAGTGTATTGCTTGCATGTGTGTAAGTGCACTTGTGTCCTGCATGCCAGTGGAGGTCAGAAAGGGTGTCGGGAACTGGCGTTACAAATGGTTGTTAGCTGCCATGTGGATGCTGGGAACTGATCCTGGGTACTGTGCAAGAACAGCCAGTGCTTCTAACCACTGAATCATCTCTCCATCCACCCCCCTTTCTTTTAGTTTTTAAGACAGGGTCTTGCTACATTGCCCAGGCAGACATCAGACATTCTCCTGCCTCAGTGTCCTGGGGCCTGGATTACAAGTGGTACTACCATCTGGCTTCCTGCTTCCTCTCTTGATCCTTTCATTTTGCTACTCTGAAGGGAACTACTAGCAATCTATTTCCTTACAATCCCCTCCAGGGTACACGCAGCCACTGCCACTAAAGACATATGGGAGAAGATAAGAGGGGAAGAAGGGCCAAGGTTTAGTAGTGTAGACGTTCAGCAAACATGGGTGTGTACATTCAGATCAGCCAGGGCTACAAAGGGAGACCTTATTTTGAGACCAAAATAAATAGATAAATAAAAATAACCAACAGAGGGCTCTGTTTGTGGCTCAGTTGCTAGAGTCCTTACCTAGCGGGCATGAAGGCCTAGGTTTGATCCCCACAGCCACACCAACTGGGCATGGTGACACCAGCCTGGAATCCCAGCACTCAGAAAGTAGAGGCAGAAGGATCAGACACTCAAGGTCATCCTTGGCTACACAGTGACTTTGAAGCCAGCCTGGGATACATGATACCCCATGTCAAACACACACACTGACACACCAAAACACCCCCCATACCCAGACACACTAAATGTTTAAAACAAACAAAACACAAAAAAGAAGATGCAGATAAGGGAAAATTCCTAAATACTCCTCATTTCCCTCCATTCCACCTGCTAATGGTCTGAGAACCTCCCAGAACTTAGGCACTACCCCCAGAAAATGTGTTGGGGTCTCCTTAAATTACCATTGTTGCTCCTGTTCACAGCCAGCTTTCCAGTGGTGCAAGCCTATAATCCCAGGACTCAGGAGGCCAAGGCAGGAGACTGGAGAAATCTAGGCCAGCCTGAGCTACACAGCAAGGTCTAGTCTGAGCTACACAGTGAGATTCCATCTCAAAAAAGGAAACAATTGAGTGTGGTGGGGCATACTTTTAATGCCACCACCCAGGAGGCAGAAGCAGGCAGATCTCTGTGAGATGGACACCAGCCTGGTCTCCATAGAGAGTTCCAGACCAGCAGGGGCTACAGGTAGACCCTGTCTCAAAAGCAAAACCAAAATTAAACAAACAAACATAAAATCCATTCCGAACAGATTTTCCTACTCCCAAGCCAGTGAGACCATTATGGCCAAAGTCAGCACTACATCATCCTACCAAAGCTCAAAGTTTCTTTTTGGTCTTTTTGAGACAGGGTCCCTATAGCCCCAGCTGTCCTGAAACTCACTATGTAGACCAGGCTGGCCTTGAACTCAGAGATCTGCCTGCCTCTGCCTCCCAAGTGCTGGGATTAAAGGTGTGCGCCACCACGCCCAGCAAAAAGTGCTACATAGCCCAGGCTGGCCTCGAACTCCAGACCCTCCTGCCTCTGCCTCTTCAGCATAGCCTACCGGTGTGTCCCACCACAAAATTTTTTTTTTTTTTTTTTTTTAATATTTATTTGTATGAGTGTATTGCCTGCATGTATGAAAGTGCATAAGTGTCACGCAATGCCTGCAGAGATCAGAAGGGGGCTTTGGATTACCTTGGAACTGGAGTTACAGACCTTTGTTAGCCTCCATGTGGGTGCTGGGAATCAAACCCAGGTCCCTTGCAAGAGCAACCAGTGCCCTTAACCACTGAGCCAGCTTTCCACCCCACTCTCAGTAGTCTTTAACGGAGATAGATTATCAGTTCTTTCTGGAAGTCCTGTCTTCACTCAGATTCTCAGATCCACAGCTCCCTGCTTTTCCTCCAGTCTCACCAACCATACCTCTCAGTCTCATTTGCTGGGTTAGCACCCCTCTCTGCGCCAGCCCATCAGAACCACCCCCAACTTCCTGTTGTTTGCAGCTGCAGCTCTGTCCTTAGAACTTTTCTCTTTCATCCTCACTGCTCAGGGAGCTCAGGGCTTTGGGATCCATCTACAAGTTCATGGCTTCCAGATGATAATTCTTGCTGCTCCTTTACAGTTCCAGGCTTTAGGTCTGCCTGCCTAAACATCAGAATCATCTCAAAATATATTATTATTATTATTATTATTATTATTATTATTATTATTGATGGCAGACAGGGTGTCCTTATGTATCCATCCTGGCCTTGAACCTATAATCTTCCTGCTCAGCTGGATTTGCAGACAGGTACCATTATACCCAGCTTTCATCTCTGAATTACTGTGGCCAAAACAGAAGCCTTGATTTTTCCCTTCTAAATTGGCTTTTCTACAACTCATCAATAAATCTCACTAGTCACTGAGTTCTCCCCCTTCTCTGTGTATGTGTGGTGTATATTTTTGTTAGTGTGTGCATGTGTGTGCATGGGTGTGTGGCAACCAGTGGTTGATGTCTGATGTTTTCCTCTGTCACTCCCCACCTTATTTTGTTGTTGTTTATGTTTGATCACAGGTGTGCTGCACCATGCTGATTGCAGGTGGGCTGCATACCTGTCAGCCTACCTTGTTGGAGGTAGAGGCTGCAGGGTCAGGAATTGAAGGACATGCTCGGTTGCACAGAGAGTTCTAGGTCAGCCTGGGCTCTGTCAAAAGAGACTGTCTCAAAACAAACAAACAAAACACAAACAAAAAACCAGGTTGTTCTTCCTTGAAGCCCTCCCATGCTCAGGAGCTCTTTTTCACTTTTCCTTAAGAAATCTGTGTTTACTAATCTTTAGAGATTAAAAAAAGACAAGGATCAGATAAGAAAGCTCAGGGTAAAGGTGCTTGCCTACCAAGCCTAACATCTAAGTTCCATGGGCAGGACCCGAATAAGAGGAAGGAGAGAACTGACTTCTCCAAGGTGTGCTCTGACCTCATCATGTGTGCCGGGGCCTGTAGGTGCCCATTCACACACAAAATAAATTTAAAAGTGTAATAAAAATTGATCTTTATTGTGTTGAGACAGGGTTTCCCCGTAACCCCAGCTGGCTTGAAACTTGCTAAGTAGACCAGACTGGCCTTGATCTCACAGAGATCTGCCTGACTCTGCTCCTGAGTAGCAGGATTAAAGATGTGCACCAATAAACCTGATGTTATTTAAAAAAATTGAAGAGTAAATCAAAAGAAACGAGACAGAATACAGAAAGAAAGGTGATCGAAGCCTGGAAGACATATTTTTAGATTACAGATTGGATAAGGGATTAATGCCCAAATTACATAAAGAAGATCTACAGTTCACTGGGGAAATCAAACAGTACTGTAAAACACAGGCAAAGGACTTAAGCAGGTATTTTTCAAGCTAAGATATTCAAATGACAGGCAAGCTCACAAAAGACACCCATACTGCATTACTATTAGGAAAATAATAAAACCACCATGCCATAAAACCTCACATTAAGATGGCTGTCAGACCTGAGAGTGTTGGCACAGGCCTTTTAGTACTGGAGATGCAGAGACAGGCACATCTCTGAGAGATCGAGGCCAGAATGGTCTGCACAGTGAGTTCCAGCCAAGCTGGGGCTACATTGAGACCCTGTCTCAAAAAAAAAATTGCTATAACAAAGACAATTAAAGAGGAATAGTGTAAGGGAGCTGTAGTGGGAATAGGAAAATGAAGCAACAAAGAGGGGCCGGGTGTGGAGCACAGCCCTGATTCTGTGCACTCACAGAGATTTGCCGCCCAAGTGATGGCATTAAAGGTGTGTACCACTAGGCCTGGCTAAAATATTTTTAGGGCTGGAGAGACAGCTCAGCAGTTAAGAACACTGGTTGCTGTTGCAGAGGACCCATTTTCGATTCCCAGCACCTCCATGGCAGCTAACAACTGTCTGTAACTCCAGTTCCAGGGAACCTGACACCTTTTTCTGACCTGCACAGGCTATACACAACATGGGTACACTTATACACATGCAGGCAATGCACTTACGTACATAAAATATAAATGACAAATAAAGTGTTTTTTAGAAAAAATAAAAAAATATTAGCTGGTCATGGTGGCACATGCCTTTAATCCCAGCACTTGGGGGGCAGAGACAGGTGAATCTCTATGACTTGCAGGTCATCACGGTCTACCTAGTAAGTTCCAGGTGGTGGCCTTTAATCCCAGCTCGTGGGAGGCAGAAGCAGGTGGATCTTTTCGAGTTCGAGGCCAGCCTGGTCTACCTAGTAAGTTCCAGGACAGCTGGGGCTACAGGGACACCCTTGTTCAACAAAGGCCAAAAAAAAAAAATGTACACATAAACAGGGCTCAAGTGTGTAATCCCAGCATTTGGGAGGCTGAGGCAGGAGTGTTGGAAGTCCCAGGCTGACCTACTTAGGAAAATCCTACCTTGAAAAAAAAGTGCTCACTTCAGTGCCACATACACTGAAATTGGAGTGATACAGGGAAGAGTCCCATGGCCCCTTAGTAAGGATGACACACAAATTATCAAGCATTCCTGATTATTTTATAAGGATTTTTTTTGGCCGGGGGAGGGCTCAGTATGTACCCTGCCTTGTATTAGAGCTCACTATATAGACCAGGTTGGCCTCAAACTCACAGACATCCCCCTGTCTCTGATTCCCAAGTGCTGGGATTAAATTATCATATCTGGCAATTTCCCTAAAACAAATAAGATATTGAAAAAAGAGCTCAAATATCAAAGAAAATAAAAGGAAAGCAAGAGATGTTTTCAAACAGATACTTGAAAGTCAACATTCACGACAGCATCACTCAGAGCAAGAATGTGGTGCTGTCATTCAACTGTGTCCTTCAAAATTTAGGTGTGGAAACTATCGCCAAGGTATTAAGACATGCCATCATTAAGAGGTGAATAGGTTGGACACTCAGTGACACACACCTTTAATCCCAGCACTCTGGAGGCAGATTCTGGCAGATTTCTCTGAGTTCAAGGCCAGTCTGGTCTACAAAGTGAGCTCCAGGCCAGCTGGGGCTATAGGGAGACCCTATCTCAAAAAGATTAAAAAAAAAAGTAAAAAAATTATTTAAACAAAAACATTCTAACTGAAATAAAGACAGAAAAGCAAAAATATTGGATGATGCCAGTCACATGAAATATCTTGAATGAATAAAATCTGAGATACAGAAAGTAAAATAAAAATTACAAGGAGCACACCTTTAATCCCAGCACTCCGGAGGCAGAGGCCAGGGGAATCTCTAAGTTCAAGGCCAGCCTGGTCTGCATAGAGTTCCCTGGAGATACAGGGAGACCCTGTATTAAAAAATCAAACCAAATCAAACCAAAGTGTGATCCAAATCCTGTCCCCTTACAAGCCTCCAGCATCTGTATCTCTTTCCCCCAAGCTCTCATCACCATCACCTCCGACCACCTCCTCTGGTTCTCCCTGTACCAAACTTCCATTCACCTATTTACCAGAGAGAAGCTAGAGTGATCTTTTTCTTTTCGTTTTTAATTTATTTGTACGTGGTGGTGTGAACAATGTATGTGTGCACAGACAATAGAGGACTTGGTTCCTGCCTTCTAGGCCCTTGTTGAAGCAGGGTCTCCCCTCCATTGTTTCTGCCACTTGACAGTCTACTCCAGGCTAGCTAGATTCTCCTGCCTGCACATCCCCTCCAGAACTATGGTACCTGGCTCTGGGCTTCTACCTGGGATCCAGGGGTGGGGAGTGTCTTTTGTCCCTTACTTGAGAGGCTGGACTAGGGCTCTGGGCTCTCAGTACTCTCCCGTCCCTGTGGCTGACCAGTGGGTGAGAATTACTTGGCCTTCACCTCAGCCAAAGTCCCCATGGTGCCATGTTCTAACAGGGACAGCAGGGAAAGCAGCTTGGTAAGCCAGAGCCTGAAGAGTGAGACAGCAGGACCCTTCCCAGGGAGGGAGACCCTCCCTTACTAGCTTGCTCCCCTGGCCTGCTCACCCCACTCCTCCTTTTAGCAATTAAATTTTTTATTGATTAATTTCCTTTATATTTTAAGGTATATGAGTATTTTGCCTGTATGAACGTAAATGCTCCTGTGCATAAAATGCTTGCAGAGGACAGAAGAAGGTGTTAGATCCCCTGGAACTGGAGTTATGGTTGTTAGCCACCATGTGGCTGTTGGGAACCAAAGCCAGGTCCTCTGCAAGAGCAGCCAATGTTCTTAGCCACTGAGCAATTTCTTTAGCCCTTCACTCTCCCCTCTTATACAGCCCAGGCCCACCTATCCAGGGAAGGTACTGTCCACAGTGGACTGGGTCCTACCATATCAATTAATTATTAAGAAAATATCTCACAGGCATGACCACAGGCCAGTCTGCTGGAAGAAACTCCTCCAGGTCACTTCAGTCTGTGTCAAGTTGACAAACACCAACTAGTACAATTGACCCCTTGTCAATTTGACACAAAGACACATCACTGTTAAACCACAACCTTTTCTTTCTTGTTTATCCTCACTATTATTATCACAATATAAAGTCCATCTTGTAAAATCCCAGTTTTTAAAAATTATAACACTTTAAAAGTCCAAGTTTTTTTTTTTTTTTTTTTTTTTTTTTTTAGGAAGGGTCTTCTTTTTGGTCCCGCTTTCCTTGAACC